CGTCAACTTGAATTACATTGAAATAATTTCAAGAATTTTTTTCTTCTTTTCACCGTGATATTCTCTGAGAATGATGTCGAACTGATGACTTTGGTTACATCAATAGAAAGATATACTGCTAAACTGTCTTGCATAAGTGAGACCGCAGAATAAAGAGGGGCAGCACAATCAAAAAGATAGATTTCCCATCTCTATATAAGGACATCTTTAGACGTAAAGTCTTATGGACAAATGTCATGAATTCAAACGAATAAAATTATGAAATGAATCATTGATTGTTAGAAAATATCGACTACCCACTGGTATCTCTTTTTTTTCAAAATTCTATCCCAATGCCAAGACGAAAGTATTGCGAACATCCGATAAAACATAAAAAATCTGCATCTGTACCAAACGGAGTAGTGGCCGTGTCATTACAGCTATCGAAATTTTTGATTTCTCAATATGGTGCGACGAAGGCTCGAATTTTCTGGCTATGTCCAAGATGTCATGCATTTGAATCGAAAAAAACGATGACTCATCAGTCAATGGAATTCAATGATGATGAAAGTGCAAGTGATGATGAGCTCATAACAGAAGATTCTCCTGCCAATCACCGCGCAAATGATGGTGATGATGTCAATATGGAGTTTGATAATCTGAACGAAGAAGAGAAAGAGAATCCTCATATGGATAGTGGTATAGTAGCTGAGTCGAATGACGATGATGAATCATCATATGTTGATGATGAAACAACTGATCCTGAATCGATGGATGAAGAAACAGGTCATACTTTCTATGAACTCGAACACCAGAAAGGCAAAGCAATGGAAAAATTATCGAATATATTCGAACTATTGAACATAGACCCTATTCATGACAGGTTAGTTCGTAAATTTAATCCAAATTTTCTCACACGATATTTGTACTTAGATCAGCAGTATCACCTATTCGAGCCAAAGTTATTGAAGCTTATAGAAAACTTAATCAATTATGTGACGTATTGGATGGAAAATCTGAAGTTTCACATGATCCAAATCCTCACGGACTAATGTTATGGGAATCAAATGAACTTTTGGATGGTTTAAAAAAGTTATACGCCGAGAGTGATGCCAATGAACAAGTTCGCCTTATGACAATTGCCCCCAAAGAATGGGGTCGACAAAAAATCGAAAAGTGGTGCGTATTCTATCCTCGTTTCTTTCAATATCTTCGCATTTCTCCAGTCATATGTTACTAAAAACTTCTTTCACTTATCAGGTTTCAATCAAAACAAAATCAGGCCCGACGGTCCCTCGTTCTTCGAAAAAATAAAGGAATACTACCATATCCACAATCTCTACGAGGAAACATTCCTTTATCTGACGAAATAATTGACGCTGTGGTTAAGTTCTATTGTGAGGATGGTATAAGCCGAACCTCATCCAACTCTAAAGACACAATTAGAATTAATGGGGAACCAGTAGCAGTTCGTTTTTTAGAAATGACGATCTTGGATGCCTACCAAATATTTAACGAACGATTTCCTGGAGCTGTTGCAAGATCGACTTTCACTACCCTTCGACCACGAGAAGTAAAAATTGCAACCCCACATGACACGTGTATGTGTATTATACACGAAAATATGGATCTGTTATTGAAGGTTTCTGTCAGCTGTATATTGATTCGATTGTATCGTAGTTTCATTGCAGGCTTGGAATAACTACCATCGAAAATGTACCGGTGTAGCTTCTTTATCAGCTAGTGACAAGATCAATATGAAGGATCTTATCATTCGAATGGTTTGCACTGCCTCAAATGAAAAGTGCTTCAATGGTGAATGTGACGATTGTTCAGCGAAAAATATTACGGATATTCTCACTGATAACAATGTGACGGATTTAGATGACGAATGTTCATGGACTTTGTGGAAGAAAGTCAGTAATAAGTTCGACCTTCAACAGATGTTTGGCTCATTTGACTCTCTACTCACGGAAATTGAAGAAAGATGGTCTTTATTCTTGCTTCACACGTACATTAATCGCCAACAACGTGAATATATCAAAGACTTGCGCTGTCGGTCAACGGACAAGACTTTTGTTGTGGCTCAGATTGACTTTTCAATGAACTATACGCTGATACGTCAGCGTGAAGTTCAACAAGGATTTTTTAGTTATCATCAAGCTACCTTGTTTACGATCCATCTAACCATTGGAAAAGAACAGCGAAACTTAGCGATAATCAGTAATTATATGGAACATTCAACAGCATTTGTGCACTGTGCACAGAAAATTCTCGTACAATTCATCGAGAAAAACTTCCCATTGGTAGAAATGATCAATTACGTTAGGTACGTCTCACTTTTGCTAAATTCTATGTGCTACATCATTTCTCTTCTTTCTCATAGTGATGGTGCAGCTGCGCATTTCAAGAATAATGCCAGCATTTTGAACCTGGTTCATCATAAAACTGACTTCGATTTGGACGCTTGTTGGACATTCACAGCTACCGGTCATGGGAAGGCCGCTGGAGACGGCATAGGCGCAGTGCTGAAGTCCACCGGCAGACGTGCTACACTTTCCAAAAACATTATCATGTCAAATGCAAAAGATTTCTATGAGTTCTTACAAAAACAACAAATCGAAACAGCAAGAAGATCCAACAAAGATATTCCTGGTGTTTATGTCTTCTTTCTGGAATCAGACGAAGTAGAAGAAGTTAAGAACAAATATCTTAAAGCCAGGAACGAAAAACTTCGAGCAACAGGTAAGAAAAACCTTTGCTTCTATTTCTTTATGTTCATGTTCGTTTAGGTACAATACAAGGGATCCGAACTATGCATGACTTCAAACCGATTAGCAACTCAATGGTTCAATACAGTTTGACGTCTCAATCAACACAGATCAAGACTTTTAAATTCAAATAAAAATCCTTTTTATGTCTTTTTCAGTCGATCAAATTTTTTAAAGTCAAATTTAGTGATGATTCCAGCATTCAGACAGATTGTACAGCTTTCTTCATTTCCTCCTTATACTAAATTTTTTTATTCGCAAGTGCATTACTTAGGATAAATTCCCTGTCAAAATTTGATGCCATCAGCTGTCCATAACTCTGAGAGGAAGAGAAGAAAAAAATTCTTGAAATTATTTCAATGTAATTCAAGTTGACG